AAAATCCTTCCCTCTAAAAGACCCCCAGAAAATTAACAAGTATTGGTAAGGATGTGGAAAAGTGGGATGTTCACATTATTGTTGGTAGGAATGTATTAATAAAATGGTAAAGGTGCTATGGAAAACAGCATGGCAGTTCTTCAAAATATTAGACAGAGAATTATCATATAACCCTAGAAATTCTATTTCTTGGTATATGCCCAAAAGAAATGAAAGCAGGGACATGAACATGTGTTTGTATACCCATGTTCATAGCAGTATTATTCACAATAGACAAGAGTGGAAACCAACCAACCGTCCTCTGACAGATGAATGTATAAACCAAATGTGGGAAATATACAAAGGAAATATCAGCCTTAAAAATGAAGGAAATTCTGACACATGCTACAGCATGGATGAATCTTGAAGACATTATGCTAAGTGAAATAAGCCAGTCACAAAAAGACTATATGATTCCACATATGACATACCTGGAGTAGTCAAACTCAGAGACAGAAAGCATACTAGTAGTTGCCAGGGTGTAAGGGAGAGTTGGAAATATGGGAGTTGTTATTTAATGGTCATAAAGTTTTAATTTAGAAGATGAAAAAGTTGTGAGATTGGTTGTACAACAATCTGAATAAATTGAGACACTAATGAATACTTAAAATGATTGAGATGGTAAATTTTGTCTATTTTACCACATTTTAAAAAAAAGGGAATGTGGTAATACATGCTGTAACATTGATGAACCTTGAAAACATGCTAAGTAACAGCATCCGGTCACAAAAGGCCACATATTACACAATTTCATTTATTTGAAATGTCAAGCAGAAGGAAATCCATAGATATACAAAGTACACTAGTGGTTGCCAGGGCCTCAGGGAAGGGAGAACAGGAGACAACTACTAATAGATATGGGTTTCTTTTTGGAGTGATTAAAACATTCTGGAATTAGTGATAGCTGTCACTAATAGCTGTACAACTTTGTGAATACTAAAAACCACTGAATTTTACTTTTTAGAGGGCTAATTTTATCACATATGAGTAATAGTTCAATAGGAAAACCTCAAGTGACTACTGGGAAAAAACAAAACAAAACAAAACACCACTTCTCTGCCATAGACCACAACCATACAAGATATAAAATCCAATCCTTAGGTCACTGGCATGTAGACACAAACCAGAATAAAATGACTTGACAAAAAGGTAATGCACAGCAGTTATGGTCAAAACATGATTTTTGGAGACCTAGTAAATGCAGAATGAGATTAGTTTCAAAACTGTGGAATAAATCAAACTGAAGCAGAGGGAAAGATAGGCTGGAAAAACAGAAGTGAGGCCACACCATGGAGGACCCTGACTAGAGGCTATGCAGTTTGAACTTTTCTTTACAACTGTTAACTTATGTCATTATTTTCAAAAAGATTAATTTTACGGCACTGTAATAGACTGAATTATACAGAAATGGAAAAAAAATTAAAAATCTGTCAATTTAGAGACAGTAGTTGTCTAAACTTAGGTTAAGTCCATTTCTTAGACGTAAAGTGTGAAAGTACTACCGTGTTTCCCCCCAAATAAGACCTATCCAAAAAATAAGCCCTAGCAGGATTTCTATGCATTTGTTAAACATAAGCCCTACCCCAATAATAAGACCTAGTGATGGGCAATTCAGCACGGAGCGGTAAGGAAGATTGGAATACCTTTTATCTGCCACAGCTCCTTTCTCCGAGCTGTTCACACTTTCGCAGCTGCGCGTGTGGTAACCGAGGTGGCAGGCATCCTACTGCGCACATGCGAACAGCGAGGGGAAAGGAGTTCAGGCATTACTAGTGCCAGCCCCACCAACAAGGTCGGCTCCCCCTGTCAGGTTCCAGAAGAAGATGACTTATCTGTATTTGAATAAATGTAGATTGTTGTATTATACTTAATAAAAATAAGACATCCCCTAAAAATAAGCCCTAGTGTGTCTTCTTGAGAAAAATAAATATAAGACAGTGTCTTATTTTCAGGGAAACACGGTAGTACCTGTAGGTGAACAAGACATTATAAAACAGGCTGGGTGCCCGTAGCTCAGAGGTTAGGGCACCAGCCACATGCTCCGGGGCTAGTGGGTTTGAAGCTGGCCTGGGCCTGCTAAACAAAAAAAAAACACAGCCACACACTGTGGCAGGCACCTATAGTCCTAGCTACTAGGGAAGCTGAGGCAAGAGAATTGCTTTAGCCCAAGAGTTTGAGGTTGCTGTGAGCTGTGATGCCACAACACTCTACCATGGGTAACAAAGTGAGATTCTATCTCAATATTAAAAAAAAAAAAAACACAAAACACTTTACAAAACAATAAAGTGGCTCGGTGCCTGTGGCTCAAGTGGCTAAGGCGCCAGCCATGTACACCCAAAGGTGGCGGGTTCGAATCCAGTCCAGGCCTGCCAAACAACAATGACGGCTGCAACCAAAAAATAGCCGGGCATTGTGGCGGGCACCTGTGGTCCCAGCTACTCGGGAGGCTGAGACAGAAGCCTCGCTTGAGCCCAGGAGTTAGAGGTTGCTGTGAGCTGTGATGCCACAGCACTCTACCCAGGGGAACAGCTTGAGGCTCCTGTTGCCAAAAAAAAACCAATAAACCGACAAGTTTTATCAAAGAAAAAAAAAAGTAAACACAACTTAGACTTCCAGGCTAAATAACTAGGAAACCATTGCTATCTGTCTGCTGGAATATAGAAAGCTAAAGTGGAGGCCAGGCAGAGTGGTACATGCTTTCAATCTTAGCACTTTAGGAGGCCAGTAGTTCAAGACCAGCCTGAGAAACATAGTGAGACTTCACATCTACAAAATATATAAAAAATAGCTGTGTGTGGTGGCATATACCTAGCTACTTGGGAAGCTGAGGCAGAAGATCATTTGAGCCTAGGAATTTAAGGCTGCAGTGAGGTAGGATCATGCCACTGCACTCCAGCCTGTGCAAAACAAATGCTGTCTTAAAAAAAAACAGTCTGGGCCCAGCACCTGTGGCTCAAGCAGCTAAGGCGCCAGCCACATACACCTGAGCTGGCAGGTTCAAATCCAGCCTGGGCCCACCAAACATCAATGATGGCTGCAACCAAAAAATAGCCAGGCTTTGTGGTGGGCGCCTGTAGTCTCAGCTACTTGGGAGGCAGAGGCAGGAGACTCGCTTGAGCCCAGGAGTTGGAGGTTGCTGTGAGCTGTGATGCCACAGCACTCTATCCAGGGTGACAGCTTGAGGCTCTGTCTCAAAAAAAAAAAGTTTGGGGCAATGCCTGTGGCTCAAAAGAGTAGGGTGCCGGCCCCATATGCTGGAGGTGGCGGGGTCAAACCCAGCCCTAGCCCCCAATCCCACCCCCCCAAAAAATAGTCTGGGGCAGCACCTATGGCTCAAAGGAGTAGGGCGCTGGCCCCATATGCTGGAGGTGCGGGTTCAAACCCAGCCCACAAAAAACCAGTCTGGAGTGAAGAAATAGCTAGTTTGATGGGCGGTACCTGTGGCTCAAGGAGTAGGGCACTGGCCCCATATACCAGAGGTGGTGGGTTCAAACCTAGCCCCGGCCAAAAAAAAAAAAAAAAAAGGAAATAGCTAATTTGGGGAGATGAATGAAAGCTGGGCAAACAGTGGCAATTCTTTAATTTTCACTGACATATTACCTGACAAATATTTAATTTTTAACAACTCTGAATATTGAAAAAAACCCCTAAACATGAAGACACATTATTCACCTATCAATGCAATCCCAAAAGAAAAGTGGTACATGGCAGCTTAGATGTTCTCTGGCTATATGTTTGAAGCAGCAGATAATAAACTGAAAGAGAGTTATGGCAGAAATTTGTCTTCCCTATACTGGACCTTCCTGGATATAAAATGAAAGACCATCAAGTTCAATGTTTTAATTACATACAACTCTGTGAGAATGTTTAAGCAGCATTACAACTAAAAACTGTTGGCTAAAAGGATTTGAATTAAAGAATTATATTTGGGGTGGCACCTATGGTTCAAAGAAGTAGGGCACTGGCCCCATATGCTGAAGGTGACGGGTTCAAACCCAGCCTTGGCCAAAAACTGAAAAAAAAAAAGAATTATAAATATTGCTCCTTGAAGCAAGATGAAAAGTAAATATTTAAAACATGTCAAATAAGTTTAAAGAGTCATTTATCAGTCCTGCTGATGAAATTATACAGTCAAAATAGCAGGTCTAATACAAAGCAAAACATTTGTAACATGAGAAGATTAGCAATTTCATTCCATTGATCAAATTAAAGAAATAGCAAGTTAACAAAAATACTCAGGACTGTTAAAAGTCTAATGTCTTGGCTTGGCACCTGTAGCTCAAGTAGCCAGGGCGCCAACCACATACAGCAGAGCTGGTGGGTTCAAATCCAGCCCAGGCCTGCCAAACAACAGTGACAACTACAACCTAAAAGTAGCCGGGCCTTGTGGTAGGCACCTGTAGTCCCAGCTACTTGGGAGGCTGAGGCAAGAGAATCACCTAAGCCCAAGAGTTGGAGGTTGCTGTAAGCTGTGACACCACAGCACTCTACCCAGGGCGACAGCTTGAGACTCGGTCTCAAAAAAAAAAAAAGTCTGTCTATTTGTAAAACTGTAATAAGTGTATTAAATGTGTAAAATTCTTTAAATGATATATATGTTATCACCTAAGAAACTGTGATGTGCATATTACCTTAAACATATAAATGACAAAGAAACTCCCCTTCTAGTTTAGTTACAAGGACTCACCTTTATTGTCAAGGAATACATAACCATCAAAGCGATCCCTGAACAAAATAATGTCTTCTTGGTTTCTAAAGTTGATGTATGCTCTGGCATACATATGAGGATACAGACTGCAGAGAGGAAAAGCAATTATGTAAATGTGCTTGCAGGTGTCTGGCTGAATTACAAGTATGCATATATTAAAGAGATAGGCTCAAACATCAAATAGAAAACAAGATAAAAGGAATGGAAAAAACCTTCTACCCCTCCCCTCTTTTTTCTTTTCTTTTACCTAGTATCATTAGAAAAAAACTCAAAATAATCATGTTCAGGCATAGGTTGAAGATGTTCCTGAAGCTGCTCCTTGGTCAAAGTGGGAGGTAATCTTCGAATTACCACCTTAAGAAACGAATATGTAAAATAAAATTAGTACAAATCAATTTTTTTGCTACACCTCAAAGAATCACAGTTCCTGAAGAAAGATGACTTATAAAAGCCCAGGAGAAAACATTCTTCTACCACTCAATGCTCAGAATTAGTGGAATACATTAGAAAAGTGGCTTTTAAAAACTCTTGGAAATGAAAACTGCCTGGAGCAAGGAGAATTTCAAATTTTGCCCTCAAGCCTGCAGTTTATCAGGTTTGCCTGTCATTTTCTATCAACTATTTTTCAACAGATTTAGATTTCTTTCTAGCAAGAAATTAGTAGGCCAAACCTGTTCTTTGTGAGTTGCCAGGAAATCTTGATTTACTAGTCTCTCCCCCACATTCAACATAGTCTAAAACAAAATCCTTGCTCCATTTAGCTTAAAGAATTCAAAATTCAAAAGAAGAGGGGGCTCGGCACCTATGGCTCAACCGGCTAAGGCGCCAGCCACCTACACCTAAGGTGGCGAGTTCAAATCCCCAGCCC